ATTGCTAGTTTTTTTTAATATGTGCCATTCTCACTGGTGTAAGATGGTATCTCATTATAGTTTTGATTTGCATTTCCCTGATTACAAGTGAAGTTGAACATTTTTTCATATGCTTGTTGGCCATTTGAATTTCTTCTTTGGAGAAGTTTCTTTTTAGTTCTTCTGCCCATTTTTTGACTGGATTATTTTCTTTGTTTTTGTTGAGTCTCATCAGCTCTTTGCAGATTTTTGTGATCAGTCCTTTATCATTAGTGCTGGGTGCAAAAATTTTCTCCCAGTCAGTGGGGTTTCCCCTCATTTTGGTTATTGTCTCTTTTGCTGTGCAGAAGCTCTTTAATTTGATGTAGTCCCAGCTTTTCATCTTTGCCTTCACTATCACTGCTTTGTGTGATGTGTCTGTAAAGATGTCTTTGAGGTGCATGTCATGGAGTGTTTTGCCTATATTTCCTTCCATATATTTTATGGTTTCAGGTCTTAAGTCTAGTTCTTTTTTTTTAAAGATTTATTTTACTTATTTTATACAAGAATCGGGGTACAGGCCAGATGCACGGGATGGTGAGAGGACCCACCAGCTAGAGCGTGGAACAGAACAGGCAGACTTATGAAATACACTGCTGAGGGGAGCAGCGGGAGTGACAGGAGAGGTCTGCAGTGCCATGTGGGACCCTCGCCGGCCGGCTGGGATTGAACCTGCACTGCAGAGGCTGCAGACAGCTTCACAGTGTGGCGCTCAACCACCTATGCCACCAGGGGAGGCCCTTATGTCTAATTCTTTAATCCATTTTGAGTGGGGTTTTGTGAATGGTGTGAAGTAGTAGTCAAGTTCATTCTTCTGCATGTAGCAACCCAATTTTCCCAGCACCATTTGTTGAACAAACTTCCTTTGCTCCAGTGCATATTCTTTGCTCCTTTGTCAAAGATTAGTTGACCATAAATCTGTGGGTTTATATCTGGGTTTTCTATTCTGCCCCATTGGTCCATGTGTCTGTTCTTGTTCCAATACCATGCAGTTTTGATTATTATAGCTTTGCAATATAGTTTGAAATCTGGGAGAGTGATGCCTCCATTCCCTTCTTTTTTTTTTTTCCACAGGGTTTCAAATCCACCAATTTTCAATTCTTTTTCATAAAGGGGCAGATGCTGTTAATGCATGGACTTCACGCTCCTGAAGTGCAGCTGTCCATCTGCCAGGCCTAGCCCAGTTCTGTAAATGTGGACCCAAGTGAATGGTCCAGTCAGTCTCAGGTTAGGCTCTAGATTCCTCAGATGTGGAGAGCTGAGAGTCAGCATCTCAGAATGGACACGACCAACTCTAACCTATGCCCTTGCCTAGTTCAAGTCACCTCAAAGATCTCTAAAACCTTCTCATAGGCTCATATCAGTAAAATTAGTGATATTTTTAGATACCCCTGCAGGAGTCTAAAATCCAAGGAAGAAAAGCTTCCCAAAGAACTTTTACTTTCATAGTGGTTGAGTCCAGGCTAGACTGTGGTAGTGAGGAAAGGCACTGGATAAATTATGTCCTGTGGTCTATTTAAGCAGATGAATGTAGTTAAAATTATTTTTAATAATTTAAAGAAAGCAGAGAAAATAACATATGTAAAAAGTGAGTTAATTTTTCTCAGGAGTTTTTTATTAGTGCAATCATTTTCATCATTGTTATTAAAGATTATAGGATAAAATAAATAATTTTCCTAACATCTTAAAGGTTAGATATCAGGATGAAATAATTTCAGTTTTAATAAATTAAGAGTCCTACGATATGAGTACTGGGTAGATTCCACTGAAGAGGGTTAAAGTATTTCATATTATTCAATATTATAAGAGGTAAACTGTCAGGAAAACACATTAAAGCACACATTTTCCCAAACAAAAAGAAAGCAAATAGGTTTCATTCCAACCAAATGGCGTTTCAGGCAGGTAATTAGAGCTTATGGAAAACAAAACAAAAAACCAAGCAGCCACATCTCAGCATACATACATGTACAAGCTCAATTCAACCCATGTTCACCAAGTGCCTATCTAAGTCAGGTCCATCTTGGACCCCTAGTGGCAGGTGCTGGACAAGACCTGGGTCCTGGCCTCCAGAGATTCTCAGCCTGTCCTGGCATGAGAGGCACTTTCAAATGGACTGGCACCCAGGGCAGACTGTGACTATAAGAAAAGTCACAGCCTGCTGTGAGAACCCAGAGGTGAGAGGGGCCACTGCTACTGGAGAAGGCCATTGGGGAGGAGGTAACAAGAAGGGGCGCTGGGGGAGGGGAGGAGCCAGCAAGAGAGGTGTCCCAGAGGGTCAAGGACCTGCAGAAGCAAAGCATTTCTAAGGGGGAGAAGAATGTCATGTGAAGCAAAAGGTAAATGTACTCTTTGCTATTCAATTGTCTTTGCTCTCCTTGTCCTGAATCTGCCTGGAATGCTCCTGTAGTTATTATTCAGCTTTCTGCATCAGCTTCTTCATTGACCTCAAGTTAACACAGAAGTTGAAAAATTTAAGAAGTGGCAGGAAGAAGGAAGGTTTATTTAGGAACTGTGCATCTTTAAGACTAGATTTTGCTTGGGGAAGAAGCCTTTTGTACAAATGGCCTAAGCTGTTATGAATATGCATGTGAGAGGCCTGTGAAAATAAGGCTTACCAGGTCTGAAAAAGAGGGTCCTACCCAGAAACCTTTGTGACTGTGACCAAGTAAGAGTCTGAAAATAAGATACTTACCTGTTTGCCCTGCACTAATACATTAGTAATAGATGGGGCCAGGCTGTCCACTACTTTACTTAAAAGACTTGCTGCGCGGCGTACAACCGACCTGGGGGCAAAGAAGAGAGCAGGCCAGACATTGACAGATCTAAAAGATGATCAATGAATGGGGTTTCCGGTTAAGGGGTCTTAAAAATATGCACAATTAGATCCTGGCACAATAATTTGGGAGGAACATTGAGTGCAAGAAAGTAGACCTAGCAGTTGAAATTTCCTAGAATGCAGAGCCATCCAAAATTGGGGAGGGATCCCTCATCTTCACCTCTGCTACCAGCATGACCCCAAAAGCAATATTGGTGCCACTGTCAATTTGAAAAGAAAGAAAAAGGAGCCTAACTATTTATTTGATGGGGACTAAGGTAAGAATCAAGTGGGTAGTTTGATTTTGCATTGATATAATTTATGATTCAGTGTAGCACTGGTACATGCCACCTATTTCTACAGCCACATGAAGTCATATTTCTTTTGGTATTAGATAATTAAAAGCCTGGATTAGGGAAATCGCTTAGCATTCAATTTTAGGAAGTGCTAGAGTGAAATATCAGCATTTTTTTTCCTTGATAAAGTCAGAATGTTGAGGGACAAAATTCACACTGCTATCCTTTTACATTTCTGAAAGTCTCAGACTGTAGGGAGAACATATTTTTTTTAAAGCATATCACATGCAATAAATACGACATTTTTTTCTGCAAGCATTTAAAAATTCATGTGGAACTTTTGAATGGAGAAAAACAAGTAGGTTACAACTGTTTTCTTATATTTCAGGATATCCATGGTAGCTGACCTATAGAAAGTATTTATATTCTTTCATCTCAAAATAGAAAATTCAGTCAACAATTGTAAAGTTAGTGAACAAACACTTCCAATTTTTAGAGAAGCTTTCATCCACACACTATAAGACCAAAAGACAGGTTTAACCCTCAGGAATGCAAATAAGCCCACACATTTCAAGCAGTTTGAGCTTCCACATTCTGTGCATGTTACCTGTTTCCCATGTACCAGTAAAGTAGTAATGTGTGGGGCTATAGAGGAAGAAAATTTCTGGGTAAACGCAGCCCCATAGCGCACCGTCAACCTGGGTGTGTCAGTAGAAAGTCATAAAAGGGAAAATGCATTAAGGCGTTTGTTCTTTTTAAGCATAACAGTCAGCATTCTAAATGTTTGCTAGTTAATGGTTTATCTAATGTGCAAGTACAATATATAAAGAAAAAACTAGTTGGCTTAGCCAAAAATAAGATTACAGACCATACTTGTAACTAACTGGCTAAAGAAAGCAACATCTCTTGGCTGCAAGCCTTACTGTGCCAAGAATTTACAGTGAAAACTTGAGATTTAACCATAGGATTATTACATTATTTCTTCTGGGTCAGAATGGTATATTTAGATTAATTATAGAGCCAAAATACTGCTAAGAGATTGTTTTGTCTAGTCCCCTTATTTTAGAAATTAGAAACCTCAGACTCACTGAGGCTGAAGGGGTTCTTATGACATTGCTTGAGATTTTTTTTTCAGAATAAGATAAAAACAGATCATTAAGTATATATAAATATATATACATTCAAAGTGTTAGATTCTGCTAGTAAAACTGTTAGAATTGCTTCAAAATGCAGAGGGTCATGCATTTAGGCATACCTACTCCATTGTGAATTTAAACAATTTTATTTCAACTTACCAGAAAGTTTTTCAATCCCTAGAAAGAGACTACCTCTGTAGAACATATCAATTACTTTTTATGAAGTACCTATAAACTCTGGTATTCATTCAACTTAAGTGGCAGGAGAACTACCTTCTAAGTACATTACTTTGGCTTATGATTAAAAGAACCACTGGTCTCTTCATGGCCTTTCATAACAGAACACCTTTCCTGAACACAAAGCAGCAAAGCACCTTGCTGGGACAGAGGAGGTGCAGGGCAGGGAAGAGTCATTAGCATATCATTTCAGGAAATACTCTCCAGGTTCTATTCCTGTGGAGGTCTTTTTTTTTTTTTTTTTTTTAATATCTAGGAAAAGCCATGATACAATGGAATATAGGCAGAGCAAGTAGACAGTCATGGTACTGTAACCTCAACGTTTAGAAGAAAAATAAGGATAAATCTTTAAGATTAGTCCATTGGTATTGAATATGACAACACACAAAAAAAATAAAACACAGTGACAAGGACACCAATACGAACCAAAGCTTTTTGCTGCCAGCTCTTCTATAGACTCTCTCAATGTGATCAGATACGGTACCTAGACATTAGATAATAGAGTCTTTGTTGAAGTAAGTTTTAATTAAATGTATAACAATTATGTTCCTAAAAAAAAATCTGTGTCAATTTTCCACTTAGAATTGATACACTTATCCATTAGTGTTCTGAACTACCTGACATACTTAAATATGCAACCCAAACATCTAGCATGAATGTCACCAGCCCTTGGTACTGTTTAGTTTGAATATGTGATTTCGGTGAGTACTGTATTTCTTAAAATTTATTTTTATCTAATTAGATGTATCTAGAGCTTATAACACATAAAAATAAGTTATTTTAATTTACTGTAAAAAATTAAAAAACAATATATCAAATGAGCAAACACTGTAGACTCTGAGTACATATGGTTCTTCATTTGTTTGTTCAACAAAACTTTATTGAGACTGATATGTAGGTGAGCACTCCAATAAATACTAGTTCTCAAAAGACACCACTGGGCTACATTCTTTAGTCACAGTTTATTTGTGGTCTTGCCTCATGACTGGTTTGCCCATAAATGAACACATGACTGGACAGAGCAACCAAAAGCAAACAAGGGTAAAGAACAAATTTTTATAATTTTATCTTGAAGTTACTTTTATAGCTTTATAACAAACTGGATGAAATTACATTCAGACTCTGTAGATACTTAGGATTTTCAATGTATCATAAGGTTTTTACAGATTTAGTCTTTTCAAACATCTAAGTAAAAGATGTGTATTACTCCCAAATTTATAAAAGTTATTAAAAAGAGTTGCTTCATTATTTTCATTAGAAACTATTTTATGCACATTTCATTTTAAAGAATTATTAAAATAACTATTTTGAATTCTAAGTTCCCAATAAAATATCCATTTTTTAAAAATCCCATTGTTTTGAGGTATAAAATTCAATGAATAGCCTCAGTATGATTGGCATTCTGCTTATACTATCAAGACTACTAGAAAGATGATGAATTTTAACTGAAATCTGCCTAAAATCTGCCTTTGAACCAGTTAAGAAAATTAAGACTATTTAATTCATCTGTTTAATGCTCAAGAAGGTAAGCTGTTAGCTATAATAATGCAAAAAATAGATCTCAATTGAATAAACAATGAAGTATGGTTCACAGCAAAGCTACAAGTCTTATTAATTACACTGCTATTTATTAACTCAATTTCCATTCCTAACTAAACCAACATGTCCCTCTGGACAGGGGATTTTCAGATGAAGCAAAAACTGAGTAGCTAGACATCAAGTACTTGAAATGTATTCTGCATTATTCTGTACTATAAAACACCAGAAGCAGACCATGATATAGAATTCAAAGATTCCTTACAGTAGTAATTCAAGATACAAGTGTGGATTTCAGGAATAATTGGCTTTCATCCTTAAAGCAAAACAGACATGGACATGATTTGAAATGATTTAATCTTTGTTAACAATCTTTACAGCAGTTTTATTAAGTGCCATCTTCCATTCTAAATGGCTGCTACAGATCATGAGAGAACTAATCTTTATAGATATAATGATTCAATATTGTTCTTGAAAACTTCCATAAAATAAAACTGGAACAGAAACTGTCAATAAACAACTGTGGAGTCATCAGAGGTTAACTGTCATAGGGAGAATCCAGGCTCCAGCACCATTCAGATAATAAGAGAAACAATTAAGCATCACTGCATGAGAGCAATTTAGGAGTTCATACATCAGTCTATTCCACTCTAGGGGGTATGAATGAACATCTTCCATTTAAAAATAAGAAAAAAAAGGTTTAATGAGGAGAAAATAACTTGTAACATTTTGGTGGATATTCATTATGCATATTTGATATATGTTCAAGAACAGAGTGGTTTTATTATTTAAAATCTTCGCTTAGACTTGCACTCTTACCTTCCTTTGTGATGAAGTTGGGGCCTTCTCTTTTGAGCAGTATACCCAGCAAGATGGCTTGACTAGCCAGACAACTGCAGTCCTGAAATGTAAATCACTATGAGTAACTGGAATAAATTGGGGGCAAAGTTACTACAGGGGATAGATAAACATGAAACCACAAGATGGAAAGAGGAAATATTCTTTCCTGGAACTGAGGAAAGGCAAATATTATCAATATACTACCAAGCATAAGCTGACATTACATAACTATTTATTTTGAATACCTTGGAGACATATAGGGTAGACAGGTTGACTTCCTGGGGTAGCAGGATTTAATCAAATTTTTGAGGAAACAAAATAAACCATATTATCTTACAAACATTAATACTAAAGTGCCACTCTGTGTGATTTAGCCAAGTCATTTAACCACTGTCTTCCTGACATTACATTCTTAAGTGGAAGACCATGTGGCTATCAACCTACTGTGAAGAGATGGATAAAGGGGGAAAGAGATTGACAAAGAGGGAGAGGGAGAAAGAGAGGGGGAGAGAGAGAAATACATAGATTTATATAGACATATTATAAATCTATATAGACATAGATATAGACATATATTATAAATATGCTATATATGTCTATATATTAGGGCACAGTGCCATGTCGTTTACACCTACTACATCATACTCATACTTATGTAGATATATTGATAATGTCAATCAATAACAAGGACTAATGATGTCTGGCAGGACATGCTCACATTTGTATGATCCAATGGTATGTCACACTGTTTATAGTTCTACCACTAGACTTTTACTCCCCTGACAAGTACTATACTCTACCCCCACCCTCATCTTTAAAAATGCAAATAACCTTTGGGAAGATAAAACAGTAGATTTCTAACACAGCATTAATATGCATGTGGTCATAGGATTGCTTTCTTCAGTGACTGAAAGACTTAAAGAAAGCATTAGACCAAAAATGCAGGCAGAAGAGAAGATTCAGTTGGGGGAAAAGAGATCCTGAAAGAGGATCCAGACAACTCATGGGCAATTATCTTGATTTAATTTCTGTCACGGTCCATACAATACCTTTACATCCATGGTGACTCAACTCATCCCCACTCTTGAAGAATCTTTGAGGCATCCCTGATAATGTCAGACCATGAGAACAACCTGTTAGTTCTGCCCCATGTAGACAGGCTGTCTATCTCCAGGTTAATCGCTACCTTTTCTGAGAGGACAAATTATGGCTTGCCCCTGGGAGTTTCTGCTCTGCCAACCTCACTCAGGGACTGTGGGAATTTTTCTCACATTCAGTTTTTGAAGAATTTCGTGGGTAGGTCTGTTTTTCCATTCTGTGATCACGATATCCGGCTCCTGTTCCACTTCAGGAGCGTTGGGGGTGCTGCTTTGTCGTTTGACTTTTGAATGTTTGGGAAGATTTAGTTCTTCAAAACTCTTAAATTCTGGAACTCTAGAAATTAAAAGAAAAAATTCCAAATTTCCTGCACTTGTAATGTGAACTCGGGAAACATAATAATCACCCAAAGGGACTTACTCTTCCATGTCACTGATTCGTAGGAAGTCAAGTTGTTCTACCACAGCTCCAGAGATCAATGTCTGAAACATGATGGAAAAAACATTTACAGTTCTTCAGTTCATCAAGCTATACCCTTCGGATCTGCACATATGCTACTGTATAAGTACATAATACTTCAAAAAAAGAATTTATTTAAAAAATACACAAAACTCTTAAGCAGTTTTATTAAATTGAGAAAACACTGGCTAACAACAACTGCACATGATTCTGAGGTATAGCATTTTATTTATTTATTTAATTTTTTAATAATAGCTATCTTTTGTTTTAAGATTTATTTATTTATTTATACAAGCACTGGGTACGGTCAGAAGCACAGGAGGGTGAGAGAATTCACCAGAGCCAGAGCGGGGAACAGAACAGGCAGATTGATGAATTACATTGCTGAGGGGAGCAGCGGGGGCAGCAGGAGAGGTCTGTCACACCATGTGGGACCCTCACTGGCGGCCAGGGATCGAACCTGCACTGCAGAGGCTGCGGACAGTTTTTGCAGCCCAGTGCTCAACGGCTGTGTCACCAGGGGAGGCCCAGGGTAGCATTTTAAAATCAGATAGGTTTTCTGATTAGAAATAGAATATATTTCCCCCTGAAATAGAACAAACACATGAAGCTACAAGTTTTTATAGGTATAATTGTTCAATATTGTTCTTGAAAACTTCCAGAAAATAAAACTGGAAAGGAACTGTCAGTGGGAAAATCAGTCTGAGATGAACTATATTTTCTCCCTGTTCTTAGAATTGTGAACATTTACTTTGAAATTGGAAATGAAATTAGTACCTATTAAAATGTTTAAAAATATTTTGAAATAAAAAACATGATATACCAAAATTTTTTTGGAAAAGACTGTGAAATTGTACTTTGGATTCTGTTATTACAATGTATTTCAGTGCTATGCATGGATGGTAGACTGTCAAGTCTCTATTTTTCAGGCTCAAGAAGGTGATGATTATCCAGGCCAGAGCTTCTCTCCATTCCTGCAACCAATATTTGGCAATTGTATTTTCTAATAGTTCCTGATTATAGTTTGAGCAAACTAAATGAGGCTAAAATCTACAAGCATAGTTATTGTTTGTCAGTGGTTCATACTGAACAATATAAATGATAATGAATGGTAACCCCAATAATTTTTAGCAACATATGTGACTTCTAATTACCTGATGAATTGTCAGATAAAACTGAAAAATCGACTACATAAAAATCATAAATTATTATTTTAAAAGGCAATTTTTCAATCAAAATTATCTTACATTTATTACTTTCTCTGTTTTTCTCACTGCACATTTCAAATATGAAGCAACGGGATATAGGGAATGTTGTTCTTTCTGGCTAAGCACCCAGAGTTGTGCTGTTTTCTCTAGTGGAAATTTGTAACAAAGTAGATCATGAGCCAACAGCCACCACAAATGGCATGAGGGCTAAATGACCTGCAACTACACAAAAGGCCTTCTTCTACAATCTGAGTCACATGCAACTGACATGCACATTTTTATGTGAACCAGCATTCAGAGTCTTTGCTGGGTAGACAGCAGTGTTAAACACAATACAAGTTTACTGAGTGATACTGCCTAAGATGCAAGCTTACATCTACATCTTGCTGTTTAGTCAACTGTTTTTTTTGACAAATATTTATTGAACACCTACCCTATGTTAGGTACTATGCAAGATATTGTATGAACAAAATACACAAAATCCGTGCTCTCTTGAAATTGACCTTGGTGATGTATAGGAAATAGACAAAAACCAAACAAATCATATGTGTTAACTCAGATGATGAGAAGTTGAAGGAAGAAATAAGAAATGGAGGCAGTGACTTAGTCCAAGGTCTTTCAGATTTGTTCTTTCTCTCCTTCCTGGCCTGAGGTCTTTCCCACAACCATACTCTGTCAGATCCTCAGGCAGGCCAAGAAGTAAACTAGCATGATCCCCTCTTTGTATGTATTGGATCTGGAGGTACTAGAGTAGCACTGCATGTCATGAATCTAGCTTTGTTCAATTCAATTCAGATGTTAGTTGGGACCTAAAGAATAATCTAGAACCCAGGAAAAACACTGGGTCACAGTGGTCAAAACAAATTCTACTCGGAGAATGTAGATTACAGCAAACTGAGAAAGAAACTCCAGACATTTTTTAAAAGTAATTTATCCTTTTAACTGTAGTAACATTAGGTAATACCACCGTAGGGGAACTGCCAATAAATCATCCAATACCACCACCTTAGTCCTTTGTGTTTCCTTGCCTCTTTGTTCCTACTCCTCCAAATACTCCCTTTGGATGCTTTAGCTCCATAGTCACTTTTCAAAGTTAGATTTTAAGGTTGTCCTTTTCTGGTTCTTAGTTTGGCTCCTCTATACGCCACATATTAGTGATACCGTCTGGTATTATCTTATTCCTTGTGACTTATGTCACTTAGCATTCTCTCCTCCAACTCCCTCCATATTGCAGAAAATGCAATTGACAAGAGGGAAGGTATACCTAAGTTGTTTCTTGATGTGGCTCTATATTGCTATTTATTTCCCTCTTAGTACTGTGTTTGCTGCATACCATAAGTTTTGGAAAGTTGTGTCCTTGTTATCATTTGTTTTGAGGTATTTTTCAATTTCCTCCTGATTTCTTCCTTAACCCAGAGGTCCTTCAATAATACATTGTTCAATCTCCACATTTTATAGGATATCCCTGTTTTCTTTTGATAGTTGATTTCTAGTTTGATACCTTTATGATCCTAGAAGATACTAGGATTGATTTCAATCTTTTTGAATTTGTTGATATTTGTTTTGTGACCCAGGGTGTGGTCTAGTCTAGGGAATGTCCCATGTACATTGGAAAAGAATGTGTATTCTGATTTTGGGGGGAGCACTGCCCTGTAGATGTTTATTAGGTCCATATGTTCTAAATCTTTAATTAATGCTATCGTATCCCTGTTTATTTGCAGTCAAGTTGATCTGTCCACTGGTGAAAGTGGGGTATGAAGTCCCCAATACAAATATGTTTTTTTCCCTATATCTGCCTTTAGAGTTAGTAGTAGTTGCTTTATGTATTTTGGTACTTCTTTATTTGGTGAGCATATTTTGATGAGTGTTATGTGTTCTTGATGTATTGTTCCCTTAGTCATTAATATAGTGTCCCTCCATGTCTTTTATTAGCTTTTTTAATTGGAAACTAATTTTGTCTGAAAAATAATCCCAATCTTCTTTTGAGTCCTATGTGCTTGTAGAATTGTTTTTCATTCCTTTACTTTAAGCCTATGTTTGTCTTTGGAGCTTAGGTCTGTCTTCTGGATTCAGCAAATGTTGGATTCTGTTTCTTGATCTGACCATGCTTGGTGTATTTTAGACTCAGTGAGCAGGACAGTGTGGTTGAAGCAGAATAAGGAGAGAAGGGGAGAATGATAGAACTGAGGCCAGAGAAGGTGATCCGGATCAAGGATAGCATGTAAACCCCTGGAAGAACTTTGGTTTTCATCTTGTATGAGACAGGTCATTGGCGCCTTAGGATATATAATCTAATTGCCTTCTTAACAGACAGGATTAGAAGAAATTGGCAGACTACTGCAAATATTTAGGTGAGAAATGATAGCAGCTTGGACCATCAGGCTAGTGCTATTGGGCTCGTGAGTGAGGAAGTGATAGAAAGTGGTTAGGTTTTGGATTTAATGTGAGGGTAGAGAAAAAAATGGATTTGATACTAGCTTATAATGTAGGGTATGTAAGAATGAGTCTAGAATTATTAATTCTGTAAGCTTACAGTTAATACTGGGAACATAACAATTTTGATTTAATATTTTCTATTTTTATTAGCTTAACCACCCTAATATGCTAATTCAGCCCATAAAGTAAATGTTTAATTTGAGTTAACAGGGACATGCTAAATTTTATTAGCAATCTCTAGAGCTTTGATTAAAAAAATTCAATTGGTTGCTGAAACTGCTAAGTTTTGTTTTATATATTCATATTTATGATTATAAATATATATATAAGATTAACCAGTTTACATGGGGAGTGGAAAACAGGGCTGAGAAGCTACTGCTTGGAGAGATTTCCTGGGTAATGGAGCTGGGGAGGGAAACTGGACCACAGCTAAGGAAGTTTGAAAGGGCCTGAAATAAAACCCAAGAAAAGCACTGGGTGCCATTTTCATTTACTGTGTTAAAGAAAAGACATGGATTGAGGAGAGGGAAATAGGGGAGGTATTTAATGTGTTTAGAGTTTCAGTTTTATAAGATGAAAAGAGACTTACTTCCTGGTTAAAGACTGTATTCAAGAGAGAGCAGGAAATACAAAGATTAAACAATGGGTAAGTTGGGCCTCCCCTGGTGGCACAGGTGGTTGAGCGCCATGCTGTGAAGCTGTCCACAGCCTCTGCAGCGCTGGTTCAATCCTGGCCAGCCAGCAAGGGTCTCTCCTGTCACACCCGCTGCTCCCTTCAGCAGTGTATTTTGTCAGTCTGCCTGTTCTGTTCTCCGCTCTGTCTCTGGTGAATCCTCTCGCCCTCCCACGCATCTGGCCTGTTCCCTGGTTGTTGTATAAATAAATAAATAAATAAATCTTTAAAAAAAAATGGGTAAGTTAGGAATTATGCACAGCACAGTGGGAACAGCTGATTCTCTTCCTCCACACTGCTCTTGGGTCATGAGCAAAATGATGTCCCTAATCAGGAAGTTAAATGTTTGTTTTTTGGAGAATCTGAAGATCCCAGGGAAAAGAAAACCTCCAAATACCAAAAAGTGTCCTTGCCCCCAGACCATGTTGTAAATGAATCCAAAACTACAAGATCCTGGTTTCCAAACACACAGCTTCCTTAAGATGTATACATTCTTACTCAAATGCATACATTGTACAAAAATGAAAAATGGTGTAAAAAATATATAAAATAAAATAAAAAATGAATAGATGCTAAAAATTATCAGACATCGGATAAATGTCTCCAATATGAAAAGTAACCCCTGAAACAAAAGAAATCTTCAAGAGATAATACAGAGAGGAATTTTCAAAATTCTTTAGTTAACATTCTCAAAAAGATCAGACAA